TATGGGGGTCAGCCTCGTTACTTGTGTGTGGAGTCACCACATTACTTCCTAGTGCTTTCCCGTTCCCATTCTGACACTAAAAAAAAAAAAAAAAAAAAAAAAATTAATTCTATCTGTGGCTCTTTTGGGTACTCAGTTTCTACCTGTGTCCCCTAGTGCGTGTGCCCCTTGTGTTCCATAGCCTGTCCTTATCAACCCTGTCGATTCCCTTGGGTATCTTGAATGTGGTGATCAGGTCTCCCCTCACTTCATCTTCCAGCGAAGTGTGGTTTCATTCCCGTAGTCTCTCCTCATGACTTCGGTAGTGTACTTTTTCTTTCGGAAGGGGTTCTGTTCCCTTCTCTGTTGACTGGGCGCTGGGGGAGCAGCTTGCTCTGTTGCCTCTCGCTTGGTCCCGCTGTTGGTGGGCGCTTTGGGTTGTCTTCCGGCCTCTGCTGGCGTCGGAGGACGGCTTCTCCCCCTTGGGGGGGGGGGGGGGGTTCAGAGCTGGCGGGGTGGTCTTCTTCCCCTGCACTTCGTCATTTCCTCTTCGTGGGTGCGTGGGGCGTGGTCGATCCGCCCCATCCTTCTGGGCTTCCCGTCTGCTCTTTGCAGTCATGAGCTTTTCCCGTCTGCAGTTCTTCTGAACTTCTTCAGTCTGCGCCCTGGATCCTCTGCCCTCCTCGGAGGATTGTTGTCTCCTGTTCGGATTCTGTTAGGGCCGGGTGCATGGATGGTGGCCCTGGACCTCCAGGTCACTTCTTGGCACGTTCCTCTCCAGTTTTTCTGGGGCTGGCACGGTTGGTGGTGGGGCTTCAGGTTTTTATTGCCTTCCCTATTTTGTAATGGGCACTTCGTATACTCTTTGCATCTTTACCGGATCTTAGTGCCCTGTCTGAGTCTGAGATTTGGTGTCTGGCCTACCTCGACGACTGGCTGGTGTGGGCTCCCAGTCAGTCCGCTTGTCTGCTCGCCAGGGGATGGTTCTTTCCAGATCGCCGGGTTTGGTTTCCTGGTGATCTGGAGGTTTTTCTATCTGTTTCCGTCCCGGGTTCGGACCTGGGCCTTGTTTAAGGCTCTTGGGCCCCTCATTGTCTTCCCTCCAGAAGTGTTCCTGCGGCTGTGGTCCCGCCTTTGGCTGTTCAGGAGGGGGTCCCGGGTTGCTCAGCGGTTGCTTGGGCGGTTGTGCGGGAGTCTGCACTTCGGCGTGCTTGTCTGCCCGCGGAGTCGGGTTTGGCTACGGCGTCGGTTGGTTCCTACGGAGACTCCCCTTCTGCCTCTTGCATTCCTTGGGTTCCTCCGGGGATCTTGTGTTGGTGCTGCGTCACCAGCTTCCTCTTTGGGGTTTTCGGGGTTCCGTGCCTTGGCACCTCCCCGAGCCTTCGCTCGATGTGTTCACGGACGGGTCGTCTCTCGGCTGGGGCTTTGTGACCAGTGCTCACCAGGTCGGCCGAGGTTGATGGAGTCTCTGTCCGTCGGGCTTTGCACGGTTCGGGTGTTCATGGCTGTCTGGTTTGCGCTTCGGAGGGTTTGGGTCACTAGGTACTCTACCATTCAGCTCTGTTTGGACTGTTCTCTGGTGGTTCTTGCCAGAACCACGGGGGTTTGGCTAACTGTGTGGTTCGTGTCGGGGGTGTGTCCTACGTCCTGGCGGACAGCTGTCTCGGTTCATTCCTCTTCGTGGGTTGGCCAGTTGTCGCCGATTCGTTTTGTTGGCTCTGTCGGGCATATGGATTTCTGGTCATGGACGTCTTCGGGTCGGCGTGGTCTGGGCGTCGCCCATTTTGTGGCGCCCTTCCCACCAGCATGGACTTCACGGTGGAGGCTTTCGGCAGGACTGGTCGAGGTGGGGGGGTACCTGTTCCTCTTCTCCCGGTCCAGCTGTTGCTTCGGGTTCTGGCTCGGTTGCAGCCCATTCCCACGAGAACAGTCCTTGGTGGCCGGCCCGGCCTTCTTTTCAGACGCTGCTTGATAGGTGTCTGTACCCGGGGCGTTTTTCCTGAGGCTTCGCCTCTTTCAGCAGGCCGAATCGGTCCTGTCCGTGACTGGTTCGGCCTTCTCCTTGGCTCTTCGCGTCTTGTATTTTGACGCGGGTATCACCATCTCTATGGTGTTCAGGTGGCTTTGTTGACGGTGTCCCACCTGCGAGCTTCGTCTTGGAGACAGTATGACGTTTCTTACGTTTTCTCGTGTTTTGTTTCCCCTCCGGCCTGCTCATGCGTCGCCTGAGCCATCCTGGTCCTTGTTCAGGGTGCCTTCTTATCTTCCCCTCAGTTTGTGGTAGCCCCTTTGGTTCAGTTTCCTGCTCTTTGGTACTGGTGGTAGCTTTATAGGTGTGCAGCCTTTCTCTGTCCTGGCGCCGGTCGTGATGGCTGCTTTCCGGAGGGGTTCTTGGGGTATTGGTGCTTGATTGGTTTGGCTGGGGGGTGCGTCCTGTGTTGTCTGGTTGTGCTTTTTGCGGTTGCCGGCGTACCGTGTCTGGGGATGCGCTGTGGTTGATCCGGTTCCTTCGTGCCCTGTTTTCAGGGCTCGGGTCTCCCAGGTCGTCCGCAGTGTTTTCCTTCTTCCAGCCTGCGGTCTGTCTTTGCGCCCGTGCTGTTCAGACGTTTACAGCTTTTGCTGCTGTGTTGGTGATGTCTCGGGCTCATTTCGGGCGCAGGGATTTGTGGGTCGCACAGGTTTTTGGCCGCCCATCCATATGTGCGTCTGTTCTTGGGCGTTCTTGTTGCCTTGGGTTGCAGGTTTGCGACCGGTTGTCTTGGCTTTGCGTTGCTGAGTTTGTGGCGGCCGCCTCCCGGGTTAGCCCTTTCTTTTCCTTCTCTTTGGGTATGAAGCTCCAGGGAGCCGTAGGGGCTCCCCACAGAAAACCAGCGTTGAATGTAATGAAACGCCATTTTCTGGGTGAGCCACAGAGGCTCCCTGGAAACCCTCCCTCCCACCGGTCGGCGGTTTTTTCGCGTTGGTTGAAGCTTAGCTTCCGAACTGGAGCTTGGCAGCCGGCGCGGTAGGTCCGGGGCTCCCCCTTCCCCCTCCCGGGGCGGGGAGGGCTGTGCGGACGATCGGCGCGGCAGTAAAGTGTGATGTTTGCTTGTTTGCTAGTTTCCTTGGGATTGTAGGGAGTTTTCTACCTCTCTGTTCGGTTTTTGTTGTAGTTTCTTACCATGTGGGGTTTGTTTTGTTACGCCTACCTTTCTGGGTGCCTAACCCCGGTCGATGGCAGATAAGGAAAACCCCCAACCATATGGGGTTTTCCAGGGCCATTGCTCCCTGAAACCTCTCTGAAGGGGCCAGGTTCTGGCGCTGGTCCCTGGTAGGTCTGAACTCCTTAGCTAATGTCCCGGTCTAACATAACATACATTAGCCCGATAAGCTCCAGGGAGCCTCCGGAGCTCACCCAGAAAATGGCGTTTCATTACATTCAACGCTGGTTTTTTGCCGTTACCTGCGTACTCTGTCTGGGGATGCGCTTTGGGTTAATCCGGTTCCCCTCATTCCCTGTTTCAGGGCTCGGGTCTCAGAGTTTTTAAGTCTTCCAGCCTGCGGTCTGTCCTTGCGCCCATGCTGTTCGGACGTTTGCAGCTTTTGCTGCTGTGTTGGTGACGTCTAGGGCTCATTTCGGGCTCAGGGATTTGAGGGTCGCACATGTTCTTGGCCGCCCATTCTTTATGCGCGTCGGCTCCTGTGCATTCTTGTTGCTTTGGGTCGCAGGTTGCAGTCTCAGCTTCGCGTTGCGGAGTTTGTGGCAGCCGCCTCCCGGGTCAGCCCTTTCTTTTCCTTCTCTTTGGGTATAAAGCTCCAGGGAGCCATAGGGGCTCCCCACAGAAAACCAGCTTTGAATGTAATGAAACGCCATTTTCTGGGTGAGCTCCGGAGGCTCCCTGGCAACCCTCCCTCCCACCGGTCGGCGTTTTTTTCGCGTTGGTTGAGCTTAGTTTCTGAACTGATGCTAGGCAGCCGGCGTGGTAGGTCCGGGCTCCCCCCTTTCCCCTCTCGGGGCGGGGAGGGCTGCGCGGACGATCGGCGCGGCAGTAAAGTGTGATGTTTGCTGGATTCATTGGGATTGTAGGGAGTTTCTACCTCCGTTTGCTTTTTGTTTTAGTTTTTACCATGTGGGGTTTGTTTTGTTATGCCTACCTTTCTGGGTGCAAACCCCGGTCGATGGCAGATAAGGAAAACCCCAACCACAAGGGGGTTTTCCAGGGCTATTGCTCCCTAAAACCTCTCTGAAGGGGCCAGGTTCTAGCGCTGGTCCCTGGTAGGTCTGAACTCCTTAGCTAATGTCCCAGTCTAATATAACATACATTAGCCCGATAAGCTCCAGGGAGCCTCCGGGGCTCACCCAGAAAATGGCATTTCATTACATTCAACGCTGGTTTTTTCCTTCTCTGTGAGTAGTTAGCTTTAGGGACCCTATGGGGCTACCCCCAGAAAGCCAGCATTAAGTGTAATGAGATGCCCTTCTCTGGGGGTTGCTTTGAAAGCTCCCTGATGCCCCATCCCTCCCTCAGGTTGGTGGTTTTCCATCAGACCCAAAACTGAGGGGTGGGTGGTGAGGTCGTCGGAGCTGGCTTCTCCTTCCCCTTGTCAGGGAGGGGGGGAGTTCTGCTAATGGGTGGGAGTACTGGTTTGTGTTCAGAGTTTCTAGGTTTCTCTCTTCATTTCTTTTAATTTGGGAGGAGTTTTTTGCTCTTTTTGGCTGCAGGTTTCAATTTTTTCCGGCTAATGGTTTGTCTTGGTTCGCCTATCTTTCTGGGTTACTGTCCTAGTTGGTGGCAGAATATGACACACTTTGCATGTAGAGTGCTCAAACACCATTGCTCCCTACGCCTCTCTGACAGGACTAGGTTCCAACTCGTGGTCCCCGGTAGGCTTAAAACTCCAAGTGACTGATGTCCCCAAACTAATAAAGCACATATCAGTTCGGATTGCTTCAGGGAGCCTCTGGGGCTACCCCAAGAAAAGGGAGTTTCATTACATTCAATGCTGGGTTTTTAAATTTAAAGTTGCATTTTATTTTCCAGGGTTTGGAGTGTACGTTATAATGCTTCGTATGACCAGTTAGTGCTCACTTGCTCCAGTGACCAGAGAGTCATTCTATCAAATTTACCATCCATTGCTTCTCAGCCCTTTGGCACTATGGTGGATCAAGAAGAAATTCCTAAGGAGGAGAAGGACAAGTTAGTGTTGTTTAATTGCTTATATTTTGTGCTTAATTGTGAAACCGTTCATTATGCACTCTTTTCTTTTGTGTGTTTGTATTCATTGGGAACAGTATCCAACAAGAGGCATTGGTTCGACATCAAATCGATAATAATTCAACTTCAAATCAACCTTGATGACGATCTGGTGTTGAATTGGTGTTGCACTTGGATATTGTGTTCAGTGGGTAGTCTGTCTATGTATTTGTCCGTCCAGAGATTAGTTTACCAAGATTAGAAGATAGAATAGTCTTGAATCTGGACTTTTTAATAAAATAATGCCAGGTTCAAAATTAAAATGAGAGATTTTATTGGCATTCACTAGTAAGCAATGCTATGACAGGCAGAGACCTATAAAATATTTTACATCTTAGTTTACAGGCAATGTTTGCACATGGTAATTGATTCATGGCTTGTGTTAGCTCTTCAACATATTAATTTCTGGGGGAAGGGGGAACCCATTGAGGCTCCCTGAAGCTATTATCACTGATTCAGTGCCATACTACTAAGTGCCATCAGTCATCGAGTTCTTATTGGTATACCGGGGACCATGAGCCAGAACCTGGCCTGCTCAAAGAAGAGCAGGTAGCAATGGCAATATGAACATCTTACATTTAAAGTTAGTCATGTCTACCACCACCATGGAAGCACTCAGAAAGTCAGCAAAAGAAAACAGACTACTGCATGGTTAGAACTAAGAAAGTAGCAGCAACAATTGCCAAAAGAGCTCCCCTAAAAATGAAAACAAACAACCAGAATTTGTGAAACTAGCATGAGCTAGTTTGTCCTATTTTCCCCACCATCCTCCCTGTTAGGGAGAGGAGGGAGGCAGACCGGGTCATCTGGCTCACACCACTCCTCAGTACTATTCTGATGGTGCCTGGTTGCTGTACTAGTCACCCTGGCTCCAGTCTCCTATTTTTTTAGTGGTGTTTTGCCTTTAAGACTGTTCTACACATTTGTGTAGCATGAACCAAGAGTGTACTCACCTAGTTGTACTTGCGGGGGTTGAGCTTTGGCTCAACTTTGACTCCTGAGCTTCTCGAGCTCTATCATATTTACTTTTGAAACTGTATATGGAGTCAGCCACCACCACATCACTTCCTAATGCATTCCATTTACTATCTACTCTGACACGACTCTACTCGAGTAGACTCTACTCTACTTTACTAACTACGCTCTACTACGAAATATTTTGGGAACCGGTCAGCCGAGAGGACAGTATGCTGGACTTGTGAACATGTGGTCCTGGGTTCGATCCCAGGCGCCAGCGAGAAACAATGGGCAGAGTTTCTTTCACCCTATGCCCCTGTTACCTAGCAGTAAAATAGGTTCCTGGGTGTTAGTCAGCTGTCACAGGCTTCTTCCTGGGGGTGGAGGCCTGGTCAAGGACCGGGCCACGGGGACACTAAAAAGCCTCGAAATCATCTCAAGATAACCTCAAGATAACACTGAAAAAATTCTTTCTAATGTCTCTGTGGCTCATTTGGGTACTCTGCTTCCACCAATGTCCCCTTGTGCGTGTACCACCCATGTTAAATAATCCATCCTTGTCTACCCTGTCAATTCCCCTGAGAAGTTTGTATGTGGTGATCGTGTCTCCTCTTACTCTTCTGCTTCCATGACATGAGGTGCATTTGGCATACCTCTGAACTTTTTCTGGCTTCATCTTGTGCTTGACAAAGTACAGGCTCCATGCTAGGACCGCATACTCCAGGATTGTCCTTACATATGTGGAGTACAAGGTTCTGAAGGATTTTTACACAGATTTCTGAAAGTAGTTCTGATGTTAGCCAGTCTCACATACGCTGCCGATGTTATTCTTTTGATGTGGGCTTCAGGAGACAGGTTTGGTTTGATATCAACTCCTAGATCTTTATCTCTGTCCGTTTCATGAATGTCTTCATCTCCCAATCGGTATACAGTGTCTGGCCTCTTATTTCCTTCCCCCCCCTCCCCTCCCCTCCGAGTTTCATTACCTTACATTTACTTGGGTTGAACTTTAGTAGCCATTTGTTGGACCATTCCTTCAGCTTGTCTAGGTCATCTTGTAGCTTATACTATCTTTCTCTGTCTTGATCCTCCTCATAATTTTTGCATCATCAGCAAACATTGACAGGAACGAGTCTATTCCCCTCTGGGAGATCATTTACATATATCAGAAACAGTATAGGCCCAAGGACTGATCCCTGTGGGACTCCACTGATGACGCCTAGCCAATCTGAGACCTCACCCCTCATAGTAACTCGCTGTCTTCTGTTGCTTAGGTAATCCCATATCAAGTGGGTACTTTCCCTTTCACTCCCGCCTGCATCTCCAGCTTGTGCACTAGTCTCTTACATAGTATTGTGTCAAAGGCTTTCTGGCATTCCAAAAATATACAGTCTGCCCAGCCCTCTATATCTTGACGTTCATAATGATTTTTGTTGTCTGGTCATAGAACTCTATTAATCCTGTGAGGCATGATTTGCCATCCCTGAACCCATGCTGATGTTGTATTAAAAAGTTCTTTCGCAACTGATGTTCCACTAGCTTTTCTGGGGGGAGCCCCGTCGGCTCCCTGGAGCTTTACCAGGCTGATATGCTAATGTCAGACTTTGGCATCAGTCATGTGTATGGAGTTCTAGGGCCTACCAGGGACCACGGCCAGAACCTGGCCCCCTCAGAGAGGCAAGGGGAGCAATGGCCTATAGAAACCCCCGTGTGGTTGGAAGCATTCTATGTCTGCCATCGACCGGGTCAAGCATCCATAAGGTAAGCATTCCAAAACAAACCCCTATTCTGGTGAAAATTGCTACCTAAAGCCAAACTAGTGGATAGAACTCCTCAACAGAAAACAAGCAAACGAGTATGACGTCATACGTCACCGCGCCGCTGTCTGCGCAGCTCCCCCCTCCCTGGAAGGGGGAAGGGGGAGCCCCAGACCTCCCACGCCGGCTATCCACCAATCAGTTCTTCGGGTGATGCTATAAGCACCGGTTATGTGCTCTGGCTCCAGTGATTGTTTCAGCACTGTACCTAGAGTGTGGTGTCTGTTTTCTAGGTGGTGCGTGAGCCGGGAGTGGTGGTACTCGGGCTAGTACTCGGGCTGCATGCGCCTAGGGGTTCCCTTCCCTAGGTGCCCTGTAAGTACTGCCCTTGGGGCTTGGGGCCACCTTCCACAAGTTCCTTGGGTCCTGCCCCTGCTAGGCCGTTTACTGCTTGGTTTTCGGCCGCTCTTTGTGTGCTCGGGTGTTCTGTCTTCCTTGTTCGCCTTAGAGTAAGGGGCAGTTTCTGGGGGGAGCCCCGTCGGCTCCCCGGAGCTATCCCAGGCTGATATGCTAATGTCAGACTTTGGCATCAGTCTTGTGTATGGAGTTCTTAGGCCTACCAGGGACCACGGCCAGAACCGGGCCCCCTCAGAGAGGCAAGGGGAGCAATGGCCTATAGAAGCCCCCGTGTGGTTGGAAGCATTCTATGTTTGCCATCGACCGGAACAGGCACCCAGAAAGGTAAGCGCCTCAAAACAAACCCCTATTCTGGTTAAAATTGCTACCAAAAGCCGAACTAGTGGATAGAACTCCCCAATCGAAAACAAGCAAACTAGTGTGACGTCACACACCACCGTGCCGCTGTCTGCGCAGCTCCCCCCTCCCCGGGAGGGGGAAGGGGGAGCCCCAGACCCCCCACGCCGGCTACCCACACCTCAGTTCTTAAGGCTGATGCTATAGGCGATGGTCGTGTGCTCTGGCTCCGGTGTCGCTACTGCACTGTGCTTTGCGTGTGGTGTTGGTTTTGTGGGTGTGAGAGCCAGGAGTTACCTTCAGTACTCGGGCTGCATGCGCCTAGGGCTGCCTTCCCTAGGTGCCCTGTAAGTACTGCCCTTGGGGCTTGGGGCCACCTTCCACAGGCTCCTCGGGGTCTGCCTCTGCTGGTCCGTTTTACCTTTCGGTTTTTCGGCCGCCTGTTGGGCTCTTGGGTGTTCTGTTCTCCCTTGTTACCGGCAGGTAAGAGGCAGTTTGCACTGGTAGGGGCGCAGGGTGCTGCTCAGCTTGTATTTCCCGACATCGCGGTCGGCTCTGTTCCTTGGGGTTCGCTGTCCTCATGCGGGGTTTTCTTTTTCTTTTTCTTTTTGCCTGGTGGGGGGTTCTGTCATTTTATTTAGTTTGTTTTTGCCCTTCCACTGTTCTACTAGGTCCCTGTGAGTGTACACGTCCCTGGGGTTCAGCTATAGAAGTTTGCTGGGTAGTTTTGGGCGCCGATTTGCAGCACCCTGCCTGGGACTACCTGAGCGCGAGTAATCTTAAAGTAAACGCTCAGGACCCTGGGAATCCCCTAGGGGGCGCGTGGGTCCGATGGATGTGACCCCGGAGTCCCCACTCGCTGTGTGCGAGTTTGAGGGTTGCTTGGTCCCCTTGTCTCAGGGTGACCCTCATTGTTTTTGCCTCTGCCATGCTGCCTGTTGGGTCGGTGATACTTTCGACCCTGAGTCCTGTGAGTGTTGCTGCTTGCTTGTGACTCAATTTACCCAATCCTCTGATTCTATTCGGGTACAGGCGGCGCGTGCATTGCAGTCTAGGTTTCGTCTGTTGCAACACACTTAGTTGGTTACTCACCCGGATGCCCCGGGGCTGCCCCGCTTTGCTTTTCGAGACCCGGACTTGGGGGTGGGAGTCGCTTCGATCCTGGTTCAGTCCATACCTCCTCGTCCTTCCCCTTCTGTTCGTTCTGGTCCCCCCCCCCCCCCTCTGCTTCCGGCCCCGAAGTGTCTGAGGGTTTCAGGGTCGGAGCAGGGGTTACTTGATCTCGAGACTCGGGCAGCTTCGGGGGGTGCCCCTTCCGGGGGGGCGGCAGAGGCATTCAAGTCTTGTCTCCCGGCCGAAGCTTCTGGGTCTGACCAGTGGGCCCCCCATCCTCCAGCTTTTCCGGCTACTCCGTCCTTGTCTTGTGGGGTCAGGGCTTGGGGAGAGGACTCGGCCTCGGGTCCTGTGGTGAAGGAC